GCGACTACGATAAAATAAAACAAAGATGGTGAAGGGGATAAAATTTGTAGGCAAGCATTGCTCCTGAACGGCAAGTGTTGGTGGCCGGCGAAACAAGCGAACCGTATTGATTCCTGTACAGCGTAAACAGGTTACGTGAGGTTTTATATTTGTGTTTATTTAATATATTGAACTAAGTCAGATGTATAAGAGCATATTTAAACTAAATATTAATTATAGCAATAGCCATATTGTTCAAGACGAGAGAAAGGAAATTTTGTGTGAATCACCACTTGCATGGAGACGCCTGGATGCAGCTTGGATGCAGAGCTTTGCCTGTAGTTGAAAATCTCCAGAAATATCGGTATATCTTAGAAAACATAGAAGCGATCTTCATAGATTTTAACTGATTCGTGCCAAACTCTCTACACATAAATAATATCGATTGAGAAGTCTTTTGGCTATTTATTTGTTTCGAAGACTTGTATATTTCATTAAAGAATATCTCGCCACTCCTTGACGAGTAGCTGTCAAATACTGCCATTTTTTGACGTCATGTGACCGGCCCGGACCAGGGCTTCCTCGTGTCTCGCCTCGTCCTCACACTGAAGCCCTGGGAACGAGGTTGCTCGAATCATAACTCGATGTGAATCCTCGTGGTTACTAACTCAAAATAGTCGCTATTAGCACTGGCGGCTAAACAATCAATTAGTCAATGGCACATTGTCCTCGACAACGTTACTAAAAGTATATAGGAAAAACGTCTATACGTGGCCGATAGATGCTTTGTACAATTGAGCATAGAAACCTTTACGCATATATAGAGCCCTGTAATTGTCCTTGACGATGTAAATTACAAAATGGGCAGTTATGACGATTTGAAAACAAGTATAATATAGGCTATTGTATTGCTGTCTTTTCTGACAGTTCTTAACCTTTAAAGTAAATTAGAAAATGATGTAATTATACTCGCCATAATATTTATACATAGCTGTTGTGGTTTCCTAGCCAGTGAATGTATAAATATTATGGCAAAGTAAATAAATTTTATTTAGCGCATTGCATTGTCGTCGTATTACGCACATGATCTTCCTAGTGTTTTACTTTAGACTGAGATGCCTGCTGTTTTCTATTTATCATTGTAGTTTACGGCCGAATTTGAAGCAATAAAAGGTAATAATGCAATGAATTGCTTCATTCAGTTATATAAAGTGCGCACAAGATTAAAACAAGAACCCTGCTGGCTTATGCATGTATTTGTCATTGACATAGCATGGCTGCGTTACAGCCCACTAGTGCATGTTATAACTGTTATAATTAGCCATAACGCTTTTGTTATTGGTCTCATATATGGTTGGTCTTGTAGGTTTTATTGATATATAGCTACATGGTTTTGAAAGAACGAGGCAACACTATATATGCACAATTAGCCATAACGCTTTTGTCGTTGGTCTGGTAGGCTTTATTGATATATACGTGGTTTTGAAAGAACGAGGCAACACTATATATATATACGCACAATTAGCCATAACGCTTTTGTCGTTGGTCTGCTAGGTTTTATTGATATATACTTGGCGGAAAGAACGAGGCAACACTATATATGCACAAGTAGGTTAAAAATTAACACTCCCCCCCCCCATTAAACCATCTTCACCATTTTACACCATATTCACCACCTGACAACAGCTGCTCAGCTGAACCATCCTACACCATCCGACACCACACTACAAGCGTCTGACAAACAAAGCATCTGACACCATCTTCACCACCTGACAACCGATGGCTATATTGGACATATATGGAAACATATGATGAAGAACACTGGAGTGAAGGTGAGGCAGAAATACCTGCTGGAATCACCGACACTATGTTAACAGCTCCAGATTTTGTGACTGACAATGAACGTCAGTATATTTTAAATATTGCACCTGGTGAGGGTAATAGGCCTGTAAGTATATTTAGGGATAAATATTCAGAGGAATTAGCATATCCTGGCATATTTCTTGGACAGAAGCATCCAGACAATAGTACTAGATTAAGGGATGTTCATTATAGTGAGATTTGCAAATCAGAATTAAGAAGGTCTGACCGCAGGGCTACAATGTGTATAGAAAATTTTTTTTTCTAAACTAAGAAATTGCAAATGAAAATTTTGCTCGGGCAATCACAAGTTGCATTACGAAAATGTCAACAAATAGTAACACAATCACTGCCGGTCAACTGAAACAACCAGGAGCAATTGATAACATAGTTCACCATGATCAAGTGTTTAAATTTTTAAGAGCTCTGAGGGGCTCACCTCCATATTTTTAAGAAGCAAAAAAGGATATATTTGCAATGATAAGGCAGTTAGGACCCGCTTCATTATTCTGTAGTTTCTCTTCTGCAGAAACACAGTGGATTCATTTACTCAGGATACTTGGTAAGCTTATTGATAAAAAACAATACACTGACAATGAACTTGAAAACCTCAATTGGGAAGATAAAACAAGGTTGATTCAGGGGGATCCAGTAACCATGTGCTAGGCACTTTGATTATCAAATAAACCAGTTCGTACAAAACTTTCTTTTAAGTAGTACTGCACCTCTGGGGAAAATTGCAGACTGGTTCTATAGGGTTGAATATCAGAAATGCTCCTACTTTTGGGGAAGATTCTGATTGTGATGTTGTTTCATTCATTGACAACATCATAACATGTGAAAAGCCAACTGAGAATCCAGAGTTACTTGCACTTGTAAACAGACAAGTTCATCGTCATTCTCACACATGTAGAAAGAAATCCAAAAGCGTGTGTCGTTTTGATTACCCACAGCCACCTATGAGGTCAACCAAAATTATATATCCATTAGATATTGATATGGATGATAATGAAGTTGATCAACATAAAGATACTTGGAAATTTATAAAGAAACATCTGAATGATATGAAAAAGGGTGAGGACATTACATTTGACCAGTTGCTTATAAATCTTAAACTCACAGAACAAAACTATTTGCTAGCTGTTCAATCTAGTCTCAAGACACCAACTATATTTTTGAAAAGGAAACCGAATGAACTAAGGATCAATAATTATAATGCCTGCATGTCTCAGTGCATGGCATGCAAATATGGACATTCAATTTGTACTTGATGTATATGCATGTGCAATGTACATTGTATTATATATATCCAAGGCTCAAAAAGGCATGAGTGAGCTATTGAGAACAGCTTGTGAAGAAGCAAAAAGAGGAAACTCCAATATTAAACAACGAGTGAGAGATATTGGAAATAAGTTTTTAAACAATGTTGAAATAAGTGCACAAGAAGCAGTCTATATAGTATTGCAACTTCCAATGAGGAAATCTTCTCGTCAAGTAGTATTTATAAATACTTCACCCCCTGAGGATAGAGTTCAGTTACTAAAACCATTGGAAGAAATTAATGCTTTGGAAGATGATTCTGATGAAATTTATGCCTCTGGTCTAATAAAGCGTTACACAAAACGACCAGCCAAACTTGAAAATTTGTCCCTTGCTGATTGGGCTGCATGGTACGACTCCACTGGTAAGCCATATATCAAACCATCTCATGAGGTAGATATTGATAACTATCCACTTGAGACAAACTTGAGTGATGATGATGATGATGATGATAATGACGAAAAAGAAAGCAAACAAAAGAATAAAAAAAGATCTAAAGCCAGAATTATCCGAAGTGTCTGTTTTAACAAGGAAATTGATTCTGAAAAGCATTACCGTGAACTAATCATGATGTTGTTTACTTCATGGAGGAATGAAATAACTGATTTATTAGGAAATTGTACTTCTTACCAACAACACTATTTACAAGTTAAAAATACAATAGATGAGCAAATGAAATTTTATGCTATGTGTAGTGAAGACCTGAATGCAATTCAAGACCAGCTTAATAATGTGGAAAATAATGATGAAAACTATGACCTGATTGCCCCAGGAACACAAAACATTGAGCGTGAAGATCAAGATGAAGGTACACAAGACCTTCATCCAGAATTCAATGAGAACTATGACCTATCTGGTGATCTTGGAATTCCTTCAGCTGCATCTAATACTGAGCAGCTGATATTGCATGAAGAACAGGATGATGTTTACAGAGGAATGGTACAAAAATTAAACAGAGAACAAAAAGAATTTTTCTTCTGTGTTTTACATCTTATTAAAACTTCTCACAATCCATTCTACTGTTTTCTTAGTGGAGGAGTGAAAATATTAATGCTTGCACCAACTGGTAAAGCACCTTACAATATCAAAGGTAACACAATACATAGTGCACTTTCAATACCTGCATGTCAATCTTTAAAGAATTACAAACATCTTGATTCAAGCAGGTTAAACACCTTACGATGTCAACTTGGTGGTTTAAAACTGATATTTTTGGATGAGATCTCAATGGTTGGTAGTACAATGTTTAATGTTCAAATAAATAATAGACTGAAAGATATTAAAGGAAGTAAAGAAGATTTTGGTGGTGTAAGCATGGTTGTTATCGGTGATTTATTTCAGCTGGAACCTGTAATGGACAGGTATATATTTAAGAATCTAGACAATTCAGAATATGCAGTTCTTGCTCCTAATAAATGGCAAGATAACTTCAATATGTTTGAATTGGAAGAAATTATGCGGCAAAGGGAGAGCATAGCCTCCTCCGCAGGCAACTCTTGAAACACATGAGGGATAAAGAGGGGGAGTTGCCTGCCATATCTGAACGAATATTTTTCGGTCTGTGCATCCCTTTTCGCGCAGAAATAGATGTCCTTAGTAGGGTGGCGATAGGCGATTTGTCATGGCAAGATGGCAGATAAACATACAAGCCGTTGAATTTGAAGATTCCTGTTTTGAGTAAAAATTATAGAAGCGTTTTAAGGCATGTGAGATTGCAGAAGGAACGGATTGAAAAAGAGCAGGCACAGGTGTCGAGTTTGAAGAAGGATTTGGATGCGCTGAAAGCTACGGAGACAAGAAAGGCCTCAACTTCAACGTTTGATCGGTTTGAATCATCTCTTCATGCTGAATGCCCAGTTTATAGTGGGAAAAGTGACTTGAGAACTACGATCACAACACCAAAAGGGACTAAACGAAAAGGCGAGTAGTAATAGGTTTTATTATTAGCAGTAGAAAATATTTTAAAATATTTGTTTTGCTTGCACAGTTGCATTGGCCATTGTCTTATAAAAATATATATATTTCTCTGTAGTTTGACCTTCACGCATTCATTTTCAAGGAACTCTCAAAGACATATTGCATGCTAACATCGTTAAAAAGGAAGGTCATTTGCTAAGTGTTGACCTGCTGTTACAGCGCCTGTATACATATGGCTCTCTGAAAGGGATTGGCACCAGGGAACTTCTTATAGAGGTGTCCAAACTATAAGCTACAAAGGAAAACAAAAAAAGTAAATATTTAAGAGTTTTCTATGAATTCTAATATTATATATTAGCAATTTTTAAAACTGTAGTTTCCCATTTTGTCAAAATCACAGTATTATACTTTTGGAACTGACTTATGTTGATATCACAAATATTAATAATTCATTAAATCAGTATCATTCAGCATGGTTTGTTGGTTCTGTTTTTATCATATAGGCGCTATTATGATGGAATGATTTTGACCCCAAGAGGTTCACCAAAAAGTGTTGGAAAAAAAGGTATGAGGAATGCTTGTCCTGTTTTCAAGCTGGTGCCGGAGGGCCATAGTTTAATTCAAGCATGACATCATGCTTGTTCATACAGGGGTCGAAATTCCCGTTATTCTGAACATAGTAAAATGCCTGACGGAATAGTAAACTTTATGATCACAGTATTCCGTTTGTATAGTAGAAAAAATTGTGGTACCAAATATATCGACAAGCAAGGGTTTTCCTCCTGTATAAAAATCCCTTTATACTGGACTTTGAGCCACTGTTTCACTTTGTAGCTAAGTTATTGTTTGCTTGCAGTACTTGCATATTCTAATTTCTTTGCAGCAATAGTAACTTAATTAACTTTGCTACAATAACATGACAGTCAGACAGACTGCCACCGGCCTGCCCTGTCATCAAAAACAACTTTAGCGTTTAGTTTTTAGGACTCAAACATTATACAAAATGTGGCGGTATGTATTGGGCGTAGAAGATGTATATTAATGCACATGAATAGATGATTCAGATTAATAGTTAATTACTGAATGATTCATTG